CCACCAAAAATACAAAAATTAGCCGGGCGTGGCGGTGGATGCCTGTAGTTCCAGCTACTCAGGAGGCTGAGGCAGGAAAATCACTTGAACCCGGGAGGTGGAGGTTGCAGTGAGCTGAGATTGTGCCGCTGTACTCCAGGCTGGGCCACAGAGCGAGACGTCTCAGGAGAGAGAGAGAGAGAGAGAGAGAGAGAGAGAGAGAGAGAGAGAGAGAGAAAGGTCGTAGGACTGGTTCCCGGTCTTACATCCTTGACGGCATTCTGCCTGAAATGGATGTCAGCACTTTACAAGCCTAATGCACATTTTGCACAATCAAAATGGCTGCAATAAACATAATAGAAAGAATGACTCAGAATGAAAGAAGTTATTATCAAGAGAGAGAGAGAGAGAGAGAGAGAGAGAGAGAGAGAGAGAGAGAGAGAAAGAAAGAAAATTAGTAGAGACTGGTTTGATCCTGCATCCCAACAAGCAGGCTATGAAAATAGATCGACAAGCACTTTCACAAGAAGCCCTAAATACATTTGCACAATCAAGAAGCATGACACTGCAGAAAGCAAACACCATAATAGAAAGGAGCCAAACTCAAGATATGAAAGAAGTTATTATCCAAGAAAACGGAAATAACAGAGCAGAATAGGCATTTATAATAGATATCCTCAGAAAGAGCCAAGATTCTTTTAAAAATAGAGTAAGAATCATGGAAACTAAAGACAATTATTGAAACAAAAAACTCATTGGATGAGTTGAGTTGCAAATAGCACCTCTAATGAGAAAATTAATGATAGAGAAGACCAAGGAGAATTTTCCCAAAACTCAGCACAGGAGGCTAAAGAGATAGAAAACATACTAAAATGCTAAAAGACATGGAAGACAGATCCATATCTGAATTCACAGAGGGTGGAGAGTTTAAAAAGAAATTGACTCCAAAATAATAAAATACAAGAAGGATTATTTAGCAAAGAAAAGTAGTAAAATTCAGTGCTATGTACCAAAAAGCATTGATGACAAAAATCTTAATAAAAATCTCAAGCTAAAAACTGCCAATGATAAGAAGGGAGTTGGCTGAAGGTGGGGTAGGGAGGGAGAGAGTGCACTAAAACCATGTAAGGTACTTGTCTGATTGAAAGGAAGCTATAGATGCCAATTAACTCCTGATGCTGTTAGAAAAACACTTGTAAGTATATCTATTATAAAATTAAGAGTAATTATGAGAAAATACACATGAAAGGGATAAATTTCAGTCATTTGTGGGGAAGGGATAGAGCTCAGAATGAAGAAACCCCAATCAATCTAGCTGTGTCCTGAAGAAATAACACAATGAATCACTAGGATGTTTCTGGGATTGTAGAAATGGTCTATCATTAACAAGTCTGCAACAATAATTCACATGAGTAGGTCAAACAAGAAAAATAGGTGAGTATCTCTATAAAGGTGAAAAATTCACTTGATAAAATTCAGTTCTCATCTTTGATTAAAAATACAACTTTAGATATTTAAAAGATACTTTGAAAACTTGATAAAGAATACCTCAAAAATACAACTTTAGATATTTAAAAGATACTTTGAAAACTTGATAAAGAATACCTCAAATATCTAACTTTAATCAAAATCCCACCCCGAGGCATTCCTGTTAAAGTCAACATCAAGAGTGCACACATTGTTCTTTCTGGAAGTTTTAGCCACTGTAATAAAGGGAAAAAAATGACAGGAAGAAATACTGAAATTAAGAAAGAAAATCATTATTATTTTTAGATTATAAGACTGTCAATGTGGAAAACCAAAGAGAAGTCATTGAAAAAATGTTAGCACCAATAAAAGAATACAGTGCCCGGCACAAAATAAATTATTATCATTACTATTTTCTTAAATACTTTCTTTTTAAGAGATAAGGTTTTGTTCTGCTGCCCAGGCTGGAGTGCAGTGGCACAATCATAGCTTAAGATCCTGGGCTTATGCCAGCCTCCCACAGAGCTGGAGTTACAGGTACAAGCCACTCCTTCTGGCAAAAATAAATTACATTTTGAAAAAAATCCCTCAATTATCCAAAAATAGCAGGTTGTCAAATAAATTTTAGTATCTCTGTATAATTAAATAGTACTATGTACCCTTTACAAATAATAAAAATCAAATTGCATGAAAATATTTTCACTATATGTGACAAAATGCACTTTATTTAAAAAGTACCAAAGTAAATACGTACCTATGCAAGTAGAAAAATTAATAAGATACATATCAAGATATGAACAGTGATTATCCTTGCACAGTAAGATTACAATGGAATTTTATTTTCCTTAGTTTTTATCTATATTTTTCAAACTTTTAACATTCAAAATTAAGTTTACTGTACTATTTACTGAATAATTTGCCAAAAATCAATTGCCAATAATATGAATAACGTCCAATCTCACAAAAAATAAAACTGCATGTTAAATCAAAAAAGCACATAACATCTAGATGAAACTCATGATCTTGAATTAAATCTCAGTTAAGACAGACTTGCTATAAAACATATTCAGTAACAAGAGGAGGGGCAGGTTCTATGATGGACCAGCTATTAGACGCTATAAAGAAATACATTTTAATTTTTTATAATGTTATTTGGCTATTTTAGGAAAATGTAATTTTTTTAGAGATAGACAATAAAGCATTTAGAAATAGGTTACCAGAAGCTTGTTATTTTTACTATAAGATATTTAAGCATAAAAAGATAAAGGGGGTCAAAGGAGGATTCTTGTTTCTTAAAAGATTTTTTAAAAGGCAAGATTTTTTTTTCACCTATCAAATAGGGAAAATTTAAAAATATAATATCTGGGTTGGTAGGTGGGAACTAAAATAAGAACCCTCATTTACCACTTAGGCAGGAATGAAAAGTTAGTACAACCTTTCTAAAGGGCAATTTGGTAATTTATATAAATTTCTTAAAAATATACCTCCCTTTATTTTAGCAATTCCACTACAAGGTATTTTCTAAAGAAATAGTCAAAAATAACACACAAAAGATATGACTATAAGGATACTCATGACATAATGAAATACTGAAAAAATCAAAATGTCTAATGTAGAAAATGGTTAAATCAGTTATATATAATTAAATAATATGCAGCCTCACATACTGTACTTTGAAAAAATGATAATGTTAAATGAATACAGTAATAGAAAATTATGGCCAGGTGTGGTGGCTCACGCTTATAATCCCAGCACTTTGGGAGACTGAGGTGGGTGGATCACAAGGTCAGGAGATCGAGATCATCCTGGCTAACACGGTGAAATCCTGTCTCTACTAAAAAATACAAAAAAAAATTAGCCGGGCGTGGTGGCGGGTGCCTGTAGTCCCAGCTACTTGGGAGGCTGAGGCAGGAGAATGGCATGAACCCGGGAGGCAGAGCTTGCAGTGAGCCGAGATTGTGCCACTGCATTCCAGCCTGGGTGACAGAGCGAGACTCCGTTTCAAAAAAAAAAAAAAAAAAATGTGTGTAGTAGGACTCTAATTTTGGAAAATATGATTAAAACCTGACATATACATAAAAGCTAGAGGACAAAAAATGTGATGAAATATACCAAATACTAATAATAATGGTTCTCTGAATCTCTGAATTATAGATGAATTTAATTCTTTCTTATACTTTCAGATATCCCTAAAACGTCTCATTTTGAACACCCTTTATAATCCAAAAAAGTTATCATAAGACAATTTAAGAGTTGTCTTTATAGTTGTGTAAAAATATTTTATATTTAAAGAAATATGCCTGTTTTGTTTGTAATACTAAAATATAGAGATGGAGAACTTTCAGATAATAGTAGATAACTGACATTCATAGATGAGGACCCACCCTAGAGGTCCCAGGCAACCAGACCCATGGTGTCTGGGTTCATAAGACTGAAAATCAGCCACCAGATGGGAAAGATGGTCAGCTGTCCTTATAGTATCCTGCCACAAAAAACGCAATACTCCTCCAGAGGCGTTCATACCCTGAGGCAGTTCCTAGGGTATACACTAAACGAACAAGATAGTAACTTTTATATTTATTGGGAAAAAAGGAGGGAAAAATGGGAAGGTGAGAGTGGAAGATTAGAGAGTTCAGTTTTTTAAAGAAAGTAAAAATAAATAAACAGGTAAAAGCTCTTGATTTTTTAAACGCATCAAATAAGAAGGGTGAGGAAATAGATGAAATAAGCTATATTTCAGGAAAAAAGGGTAGACAAGACCTATGAAAATTAAAACTACAAGGAAGAAGAGACCAGAAAAAAAAAAAAAAAAACATTAAGTGAGATAAGTGGAGGAAAGATCACATAATCAACTCAACAAATAGGCAAGAAAAACATTACTTCATTTGTCAAACTGAAGGTGGAGGGACCTGGAGGAAGGCAATTGCTAGACTGTGCCAGATTCAAGGTTGTGAAGGGCTTGGTCCCGGCCACTTCCTTCATTTAATAAATGTTTATTCAGAGTCTATTTTTCTGCCAGTGCCATGCTACGCACTAGGCACCAGGGATATAAATATGAATCGGACTGACATAATTCCTGCTTTCAAAAAGCTTATGAATCAGGGACAGACACAGACTAGCAAACTTTATAGTACCAAACGACAAGGGAGATCAAACACACGTCTGCTGTAAAAACGTATAATACATAGGTGCCATATCAGTGGTATATATAAATTACTGTTAAATGTTACTGAAAACAGTAAACTAGAGAAAGATGAAAAGAGAAAATTCACTAGGTCAAAGCAGAAGAAATAAATAACATTAGTTTTTTTCCTCATCACCGCAAGTGCTAGTTGTTTTCCATCTTTTCAAGACAGCTATAAAGACACTGCTCTTTATCCTGTTTGTGAAATTCAAAGGACATTTGCAACATTTACAAAAGAAAACACTTCAAATCATTTTGCAAAAATTTTAAGGAAACGACCTATTTCCTGTATAATGAATGATTAGCAAACTTGCTTACTTGAAGCACCTGTGCCATAATGTGAAAAAGTCACAGAAGTCTTTTTACTTACCAGGATCTCTTTTTCAGAAGAAGAGAAAATAACTTGTAAATGAGCGGAAATACAATTGTAAATGCTTGACAAACACAAGTTCTTAGTTTAAAATTGAGTAAAGCGATACCTTAGAAACAGATTGGTGCCATCTGTTGGCGCATACTGGAATTACTCCTACGTATATACTTCCCTTTGAAAGGTCAGGAGGTATGTGAGTTAGCAGGCTTTTCTGGGCTACAGACTAAACCAGTGATCAAATTTTCTAATTCGTGTGAGGAAGCAACTTACAAACATTTCAATGTGAAGAAAAATATTTTTCTAAGGTAATATTTCTCTGTAAGAGTTTGCAGCCCGGATATTACATTTGTCCCCCAAGTGAAGAGTTATTTTAAACAGCCTGTTTTCTATTATCATCATATTTAACATTTCAAGAATAATTGCAATTGCCCTTACCAAGTGATTTTGAGCATTATTTTAGCTGGCTGAGATACTATAAAATAAAATAAGTATAGTTCCACAATTTGGGGTTTTTAAAAATCAACTTCTAAGGAAAGTTTACTGGTTGATACACATTTATGATGACATATTTAGCCATATCTAGGAGGACTCATACCCACATTCTGATCAACATTTAGTGTTATTAAATGGTTTAGATTTTAATTTAGGAATAATAAATAACACTGAAATCCTACAGGACTCATTTAAAAATCAATTTTCTGAAGACCATTTAGAAGAATTTCAGAATGACATCAACAAAGGCTGATTACCAGAAGTCTCTGGTTAAGTAGAGACTTCCGGTGGACTGTAAACCCTTTTCCCCAGACTTCTCACTTCACTGAGTTCTGAAAAGAACAGAAGTCATGAGTAAAACAATCATTCCATAATTTATCTCACTGTCTGGCACGATCTCATCTTTATTTAAAAAAAAAAAAAAGACAACAAGGTAAGACCTTACAATTCGGCTAATGACAAAGTTGGACATCTCAGTAAGAATCACTTCTGCTTTCAGGAGGAAGAGAAAGGCTGACTTCTTACGATTCATCCTTACTCATCAAACATAACAGGAAGTATCTGGGGAGGCTCAGTAAGAAGTGGATGGGTCTCTGCTCCACTGACAAAAGGAGACAGCCAGAAAGCATCAGGTATCTGTGACCCTGGGAAACCAGATTTGTGAAACAAGCCAAGGGAAAGGACTGGCTGTGGCTTTGAGGGAATTTCAAGTAACCGTGGACTAACGTCTTAAGAAAACACACAGCCATCACTGCAGATCTGGGCACACTGACATGTCTCATTAGGAGGTTGCATCACATCACCAATGTTCAGGAACAAGGAGACCATTCTTGTCGAGGCTGTCATAACTCAGAAACGTCTGCAAGGGGATGACAAAAACACAAAAATCAAGTAATAGCGAAGACAGCAATGACAGTTAAGCAAACAAAGAAACAGACAGTACTGGGCCGAACTCCCCACTTGGCCACTTACTGTGAGGCTTGGGACAAGTTCCTCAACCTCCATTTATTCATCCACAAAATGGGAGTACTTTTAGGAAAGATACTGAATTTAAAGTGGCTGGAATAGTGCCTGACATAGAAGAGAAGTCATAATAGTAAGGAGTTTGGTGTAAATCATATGGTTTTTTGTACGCTGAGGGGTAAAGATTTCAGGATATACTATGAAGTGAAGAAAATCAAGGTGCAGGCTGGGCACAGTGGCTCATGCCTGTAATCTCAGCACTTTGGGAGGCTGAGGTGGGTAGACTGCCAGAGGCCAGGAGTTTGAGACTGGCTTGGCCAACATAGCGAAACCCCGTCTCTACTAAAAACACAAAAATTAGGTGGGTGTAGTGGCAGGTACCTGTACTCCCAGCTACTCGGGAAGATAAGGCAGAAGAATCACTGGAACCCGGAAGGCGCAGGTTGCAGTGAGCCGAGATTGTTCCACTGCACTCCAGCCTGGGCAAAAGAGTGAGACTCTGGCTCAAAAGAAAAAAAGAAAGAAAGAAAATCAAGGTGCAGAACCATAAGAAGAGTATGACATCAATTGTATAAAATCTAGCCTATTATACATTTACACAGTTTATCTTCTTGCCAGGCATTGCTGTGACTACTTTCCAAGTATGAACGTATTAAGGTGCTGTGAGATAAGTACTGTTACATCATCTCCACTTAGCACCCGGGCAGGAGCAGCTGAGTAATGGTTTCGGCTTGCACTGCTGGTCAGTGGTGGGACTGGGGTTCGAACCCAAGCAGTTTGGCCCCAGTGGCTATGCACTTCAGCATCACACCATGCACACTGCCTTAAAAGACACCCTGTGTCCTCATAAGACACACAGAGAAGAGAGACACAGAGAAGCGGAGCATTTGCAAACAGAGGCAGAGACTGCAGTATTGCAGTCACAAGGCAAGGGATGCCAGGAGCCACCAGAGGCTGGAGAGAGCATCACCCTATGAACACCTTGATTTTGAACTTCTGGCCTCCAGAACACTGAGAGAATAAATTTTTGTTGTTTTAAGCCACACAGTCTGTGGTGATTTGTCATGGTAGCCACAGGAAACTTAATACAGAGGTCTACATACGTATGTTGATAGAGGCATATGAATCTTTTTTTCTCAAAGGATGCATAAGAAATGTTCACCTTTGAGCAGAAGAACTAAGATAAATAGATTATTGGCCTTTTTTTTTTTTTTTTTCTGAGACAGGGTTTCGCTCTGTTGCCCAGGGTGGAGTACAGTGGCGTGATCACAGCTCATTGCAGCCTTGACTTTCTCTGCTCAGGTAATCCTCCCACCTCAGTCTCCCAAGGATCTGAGATCAGAGGCATCCACCACCATGCACAGCTAATTTTTATATTTTTTTGCAGAGACAGGGTTTTGCCATGTTGCTGAGGCTGGTCTGGAATTCCTGGGCTCAAACAATCCACCCACCTCAGCCTCCTAAAGTGCTAGAATTACAGGCTTGAGCCACCCCACCTGGCCTCTTCACCATTTTATGCTTTTTGTCCTGTTTGGATTCTTCACTATATATATATATATATATCTTAATTTTTTAAAAAATAGTGTCACACTGGGATAAGTATTATAATCTAAGGCCACCAAATATACTGTCCCAATACAGACACAGGCAAAACATTGTTTTGATGATTTTTACTTTTTAAAAAATGTTCTTTGCCTTTCTCCAGATAATAAATAAATAAATATTAGTGTCTACTAACAGCTTTAAAGTAAGTTCTGTGACAGTTATCAATATCATAAGATACACATATGACAGAGATAAGATTGATAATTTTGGCTGGGCATAGTGGCCCACACCAGTAATCTCAGCACTTTGGCAGACTGAGGCAGGTAGATCACCTGAGGTCAGGAGTTCAAAACCAGCCTGGCCAACATGGTGAAACCCTGTCTCTACTAAAAATACAAAAATTAGCTGGATGTGGTGGCTGGCGCCTGTAGTTTCAGCTACTCAGGAGCCTGAGGCATGAGAATCACTTGAAGCCAAGAGGGGGAGGTTGCAGTGAGCTGAGATCGCGCCACTGCACTCCAGCCTGGGCAACAGAACGAGACTCCGTCCCCCACCCCACACACAAAATTGATAATTTACATATTAAGTGTTGGTAGTAAACCTAAACTTCTCTGCTGAATTAAAAAAAAAAAAAAAAAAAAAAAAAAAAAGACAAGCCACAGTCTGGGAGAAGGTATCTGCAACACGTGTAATCACAAAAGGGTTAATATACAAAATATATAAAGATTTCCTACAAATCAATTTTAAAATGACTAACGACCCCAATGGGGGGAAATGAGCAAAGGATATCAGCAGATGGATAACAGAAAAGGAAACAGAAGTAGCTCAAACACATGGGAAGGTATGCATCCTCATTAGAACATGGGAAAATACAAATTAAGACAACCAGGAGACACTATTGCACACCCCTAAGGTGGACAAAATTTAAAACATCTCGTAATACCAAATGGTGGCCAGAACATGAAGAAACAGGAGCGCACATACATGTCCAGAGATTCTGATGTAAGTGGTCTGGGAGGAGCCGGGCATACGTTTTATTTCGAAAGCTCTTTAGGTGATTTCATTCTAACCCCATGAAGATCAGGGGACTGAGACCTACACGCTGGCCTGAGCACAGCGCCCTCTAGTGGTCTATATTTTCTCGGGCGCACCCTTTACATCCCAGGGCCTGGGAGGTGGTGCAGGCCGTCACTGCTACTTCCAGATCACTTTCCTTCCTCCAAACCCACCCCTTCTCGTTGCAGTCATCTACTGAGCCCCATCGCTTCATCAAATATTCTAGCACTACTCACTATTTCAGTCCGATACCACCCTTTTCATAATTTTAGTGATTTCCATAGCTACATAGAGATTCTTCCATTCACCTGGCCTCTGAGTTCTTGGAAATTCTCTCTTCTAATAATCTTGTCCTGCACCCTACCTCAGTCATGCATTCCCTTATGATATCCTAGATATCATCATTAGCAGTGGCTGCACCCCCTCCATAATCTCAGCTGCCTGAATCCCACTTTCCATCTGTCACCTCCAACTCTTCCTCTGATGCCAATGATTCCCCAGCCCCACTGCACTGGATTGAAAGATCATGCTCCATCCTCTTCATTATTCTTCTGTAGCTACCTACTCCTCTTTCCTCAACCCAGTTTAAATCCAACTCTCCACTGGACTACACTGAGCATGAGTGGCTGAATATAGTTGGAGAATATACACATCCATGCTGACTGGCTTACTTGAAATTTATGACTAGGTTCCAGCCTCAAGAGAGAGCAGCAATCCTCCTACCCTCCTTACTACCCTTCCCTAGCCCCTTCACTCTCCTACTCTCCTCTCTCACACCTCCTCTTGTCTCTTACACTTCCAAAATCTCCTTCTTGTGTCTAGGTCCTCTTTATCTCTTTGGTATGGAATACCCAAGGCTCAGTTTTGGACCACTTCTCTTCTAAATCCATGCATTCTCATCCGGGTCCATGGCTTCAAAACCATCTGCTTACTGATGTCTCCTCAATTACCAGCTCCGGCTCAGACTTCCCTGAACTCCAGACACTCACATTCAACAGCCTACTAAATAGTTGCTAAAACATTCTTGTTGAAAACCAACATTCTCATGCAATGATGCTTCATTTTCACAATGAAAATAGATGCTACCAGAGGAGCATTTCCACATCTTCCCCTGAAATTCTACAAGCCTCCCCTGCACGAGTTCTACATGAACTCTCCCTGTCCTTCGGAATGAACTCTGTGCCAAGAGCCATCCCCTTCCCACTGAGCACTGGGTCCCCCTCCTGCTCATCTACTCAAGGAAGTCACTCTTGCAATGATCTTCTCTCTACTGCATCAACATTTTTCTGCTCTGATGTATTATTCCATTCATCTTTTTTTTCTTTTCTTTTAGATAAGGTTTCATTCCCATCACCCAGGCTGGAGGGCAGTGGCATGATCTTTGGCTCACTGCAACCTTCACCTCCCAGGTTCAAGGGATTCTCATGCCTCAGCCTTCTGAGTAGCCTGGATTACAGGTGTATGCCACCACTCCCAGCTAATTTTTGTAATTTTAATACAGACAGGATTTTGCCATGTTGGCCAGGCTGGTTTTGAACTCCTGGCCTCAAGTGATCTGCGTGCCTTAGCCTCCCAAAGTGCTGGGATTATAGACTTGTGCCACCACGCCCGGCCCCAGTCACTTCTTTTTTTTTTTTTTTTTTGAGACGGAATTTCGCTCTGTCGCCCAGGCTGGAGTTTAGACAGTGGTGCAATCTCGGCTCACTGCAACCTCCGCCTCCCAGGTTCAAGCGATTCTCCTGCCTCAGCCTCCCAAGTAGCTGTGACTACAGGCACGTGCCACCATGCCCGGTTAATTTTTTGTATTTTTAGTAGAGACAGGGTTTCACCTTGTTAACCAGGATGGTCTCAATCTCCTGACCTCGTGATCTGCCGTTCTTGGTCTCCCAAAGTGCTAGGATTACAGGCATGAGCCACCGCACCCGGCACCCAATCACCTTTTAAAGCAATAATTTCTCCCATCTAAAAAAACAAAATAAAACAAAACAAAAACTCTCCCTTTGAATCCACAACCTTCCCCTCCTTGCTCCTCTATATACCAGAACTCCTTGCAAGAGCTGTTTACTGACTATCTCTAATTGTTCTCCTCTCATTCTCTCAATTCTACTTCAATCAGGTTTCCTTCCCCACCAGTCAGGAGAAATAGCTCTTTTCAAGGTCACCAATGATCACCACATTGCCAAATCCATGGTCAATTCTCAATTTTTAGCTTAATTGAACTATTAGCAGCATTTAACACAGTGGAAAGATCCTGAAATGTTTTCTTGCCTGACTTCTTAGACCCCATACTCCCACTCCCCACTCTCCATTCCCTGAATTTCCTGCTAGCTCGCTGGCATTCCTTCCCAGTCTCCTTCTGGGTCCTTTTTATATCTCTGGCATGGAATACCCAAGACAGTCTTGGACCACTTCTCTAACTCCATGCACTCTTATCCTGGTCCTTCAAAACCATCTGTTTGCTGGTATCTCCTTGCTTACTATCTCCAGCCTAGACTTCCCTGAACTTCAGACTCTCACATTCAATAGCCTGATAAATGCTTGCTAAACCATTATTGTTGCAAGCCAAATGCCTGAATCTTTACTACCTCTAACTCCAAAACTGCTCGCTCTTGCATAGTTCCTCATATCAGTAAATGATATTTCT